CGCGGCTCAGAAGGGAAATCGGTCTGTAGTTCTTCAAGAGAGCGTTGTCACCTTTCTTGAAGAACAAGACCACCGCACTTCTGCTCTACGCCTCCGGTGTAATGCCACCATGGAGGACGAAATTAAAGAGCTTCTGAAGGACTTCAAGTACCGGTCTTCCACCCGCTTTCAGAAGCTCCGCTGTAATTCCATCCTCGCCTGGGGCCTTGCCGTTTTTAAGGTGCTGGAGAGCCATTCTAATCTCGCTCAGACTGACGTCCGGGATATCTTCGGAATAGTGTCGGATGAGACTCGCTCTTGGATCGTTACTCACACTTGCGTGTGGCTCCAACGATGACGATCCCCGAAACTCTTCACCGCTGCATTGGAAGACGTTTTCAAACTTCTGGACTGGAAAGGATACGGTATTAACATCAATGGCGAGTACATCACTCACCTTCGATTTGCCGACGATATAGTCCTTATGGCAGAATCGCTGGAGGACCTAAGCTCTATGCTCAATGACCTCAATAGTGTCTCCCAACGGATAGGTCTTAAGATGAACATGGACAAAACAAAGATTATGTTTAATGTCCATGTCACACCTATGCCGGTAGTTGTTGGGAGCACTAAGCTCGAAGTTGTTGACGAGTATGTTTACCTGGGACAAATAGTCCGACTAGGTAAGTCCAACTTCGACCGAGAGGTCAATCGACGGATTCAACTCGGCTGGGCAGCGTCCGGGAAGCTACGACACATCTTCTCGTCAGACATACCTCAAAACCTTAAAACGAAATTGTACAACCAGTGCGTGTTGCCAGTGATGACTTACGGAACTGAGACGTGGAAGCTCAAGGTCGCTCAGCGAGCTATGGAGAGGGCTATGCTCGGAGTTTCTCTGCGAGATAAACTTAGAAATTAGTATATCCGCAGTAGAACCAGAGTAACCGACATAGCCCAACGGATTAGTAAGCTGAAGTGGCAGTGGGCCGGTCATATAGCTCGAAGAACCGACAACCGATGGGGAAGAAAGGTTCTCAAGTGTCAGCCTCGTACCGGTAGGCGAAGTGTAGGGCGACCCCCCACGAGATGGAGTGACGACCTGGTAAGACATGCAGGAAGTCGATGGATGCTGGTGGCTCAGGACCGTGCTTTGTGGCATTCCTTGGGGGAGGCCTATGTTCAGCAGTGCACTTATGAAAGGCTGTAATGATGATGATGATGATGATGGGGATTTTATGGGGATTGATATTATGCGGGTAAAATACGGGGCTTGTGAAAATCGATAGACAGGGCCAAGTCGGAACATTTTTTCAAGAAATCTAAATACTTATCTTAACATTTTGTTAGGTTACTTAGGAATATCGAATGACTCCCTTTTTTAATATTTTGTTATATATCTTCATTGCAGCACATTTAATTTCCGGATTTATTTCGGCAACTTTTGTGTATCATTTAATGCTTTTCGTTTCTTTAGTTTTGTAATTTTATAGAAAAAGATGTTAGTTAAAAAGTAAATCTTATAAAATTAGAAGAAAATTAGCTCATTTCTTAAAATAAAATTGAGGGGAATTCGTGGGGAATCTGTTGAAGTTTTGTCCTTAAATTGGGGCATTTGACATGAATTTTCGGGGAATTTGACAAATTGGTGTTGGCAACGCTGTCATGTTGCACCAAAATTTACCTAGTAAGATTTTTTTTTGCCGGCGACATAAGAGTTGGAGGCGGCAATCACTATAAAACTTGGAAGTAAATACGGAAAATCAATTAAAATTAAGTAAAAGTATTATTTTTTACATTAACTCTGATAGATTAATTAACTGTCGATCATAATTGCAATTGATTATAACTATTAAATTATTCAGTACCATTTCATTTCTATTTTCTTAAACAAAATGAAAGATAACGATGAAATAGTGTTTATAATTGTGTAAGTGTATACTGAGTACCGAATTAAGTACGTTTATTAATTTCAATATAATTTTGTATTTCTCACTGGGGAATCGAACCAGGTATTTGGTTTATTTAACCTGTGAATTCTAATTAAAGTGGCTATGTGGAGACAAGCACAGTGGCAATATAGTAGGTTAAGTAGATAAGTTAGGTATTTAGACAAGTGTTGTAAATTATTAGGTATTGTGGTACCATCGCTAGCTGCTGGCCGCGTGATTTCGGCATCCGTGCGTATATTGACCCCTAGTCAGCTGATTGTAATTCCACTGCTGGTTTTATGTTTAAGTATTTTCATGATTTTTTTTAATGAAATTATCATCTAATTTAGCTATACTAACATGATGGAGCGTGAATAAAGTTAATAAAACGTTGTGAAAAGATGATTTTTTTCCCACGGGATCGAATTTCTTTATAACCTATCATCAAAGGTATCGTTAGTATTATCGTCTGTCTTCGTTTTCGGGAGCGTTTCACTGATACCCGGTTTAATCAATTTCATTTTTATAAGAACCATCCGGGTAAATCCACGTCCATTTATTATTTTTGTTTTTATGAAAGTTAATATTTAATGCTGATAAGTTATGCTCCATTAGAAATTCAACTAGGTTTTGCCCATTACGACTTTTCTTTCTATGTCCAAACTTGCCAAGTACATACTCACTATTGTTTTGTCTAGCTCCAATGTGTGCATTAAAATCCCCCATTATAATTATGTTTGTCAGAGTTGTTTTTTATAGCGAACGATGCTTCAAGCACTGATAGTTCTGTTTTTACAGCGGGTGCATATACCTGTATGAGAGACCAAGGTTTCTTAAATCCTGGTAGATTTACATTTAGTATTGCTAATCTATTAGATATTCTTATTAATTCTTGTATATATTCCCTCAGTGACTGTTTTATTAAAAAACCAACTCCTCTACAACCAGCAGTTTCTCCTTTATGGTACAGTATGTAACTGTCGTGGTCATCTATTTTTTCCCAGTCTTCGCATTTCACTCATACCTAGTATGTTGTATTTTATATTTTCTAATTCTAGCAAACTCCTGAGTTCTAAGGGAAACCTTACATCTTCTGGTACTCATGCGGGGACCAACCGTGATAGGAGATAGTTAGCTTGTTGTTGTTTATTGTGTTGTGGTTGTCCGGCTTGTGGTGCCTGTATCTTTGTTTGTGTATAAGTGTTTGTCTGAAAGTGAGTGTGCTCTATCACGTAATTACTGAAAGGCATCCCGTTTCCTAACTTTAGGATCATTAATTTTTATTTTCTCATTACTAGGTTTTGCGCTAAGGGTTTCAGATATCTTTCTTTTTTCCTTTTACTTATCCATATTTCTTTTTTCCTTCTTTTTAAGCAGAGTTTCTTTTGAAAGTTCCTGCGTAATGTAGATATTGGATTTCGTTTTCTTCTTTTTTTTGAGAATTTGAATTTTCTTTTGCAGGGTTGTTCTAGCAAGTAGAATTGGCGGTATATAACTGTATCCAATTTCTCAGTCTTTGAATTCTATTTATTATATATATCTTCTATAAATTATCATATTCATGTCTTAATGTCATGAAAATAACCCCATCAACACATTTAAAGATAGCTATTTCCATGGACTCGTTACACACAGACATTTCAATTCTATTTGACGTCTCCGTGGCGCTGTGGCTTATTAATGAGTTGCAGTGCTAAGGGCTGCCGGTTCGAATTTCAAACGGGTCAAGTATTTGTATGGCCTACAAATAATTATTCAGTCTGGATGTTCGTCCTTATGAAAATTATGTAGGTTAACCCACCATGAGAAATTCCGTAGTATGGATATAACTTTTTTTTTAAAATGAAGAAGAAAAATATTTTTATGTACCTATAGATTAGCGACCCGCCCCGGCTTTGTCTGGTTAGGACCTACTAATGTGGTGTTATTTGGATTTAAGAAAATCAAAAACCATTTATTTTATCATTATCCGTTTTTGCAAAAAAACAACTTCAAGTTTTTGGCTTAAATATAGAATAGATCCTTCCTGGCATTACTCTCTATCTGTTTGTAAAGTTTCATCAAAATTGGTTCAGTCATTCCGAAGATTAGCCCGGACAGATAGAAAGTATTTAAAAAAAAAATTCAATTAAATGCAAATAATCCCCTAAGCTTAATAGAAGCCAGTTATTTGAATATTACGAACAGACACTTAATTTTTTTACATGTACAATATTAATTATTTTTTACATAATTAAAAAAATCTAGTCAGAAGAATACGTAATACAACAGATACTTGTAAAATAAGGACGAGTAACTATTTTGTCCTGTGCTGATGATAATTTCCAATTGTAGGTATAAAGTAGTATTAATACCGAGAATCGTGATTTGCTGTGGCAACAGCTCTTAAAATTAGCACTCAATTCGCAAAAAACCATACAGAAAATCGATTATCTGCCATGCGAAATTAGTAAACACGCATTAAGGGAGCGGCATACTCCTCTTACGTCATGATCATGACTAGCCTTTTTATTTACACAACTATACATATATCTTTTCAAGAATGCATCAAATGTAATACTATATTCCTTAAGAATTTGCGCGATATAATTACAGTGATAGTAATGTATATGGCTGTAACTTTACTGTCATTGGTTATTATAGTTATATAGTTATTGCTACTGTTAGTATATATGGTTGTATAATGTGTTAATAGTATAATGTGTTAGTATATATAGTTATTGCTACTGTTGTAATGACTACACATTAGTTTACTTTTGTGTAAGAGAATCCACTATCAAATATCATCTCGTTGGTGTGGTAAGAGTTGACGGTGGGATATGAAACAGGAGCTGCGCAACAGCATCTTCCTGATAACAACTGAAAATAATAAAACCTGGGGCCACCAACCCGTCTGCCTAGCGTGGTAACTATGACTGTCACCCCTATGAGGCAATCTAAGGGGGCGACCTATGTTTTGCGTTTTATCGTAAATCGAAACGCAACAATGACAAATAGCCCGGAAAAATCAAAAAATTCGAATTACAATAGCGTTTCTAGACTTCTAAAAGACACGATATCATAGTTTAACTTAACACAGTAGTTCACCTTTTATATACATTTGTAATTATATTTCAATATAGAAATCTTGTTTTCATCCTTTAGTTCTTGAAGCTTATTGGGCATATACATGATAAAACTACAGCGTCCCCGAAATGCAACAAGCTGTTCGTCAATAGTTAGTCGCTCACTGGGATTATAATTGTTTTTACAATTGGAAATGAACTTTTCTACAACATCACGTATAGCTGCAAGTTTATCTAGTGATTGCCTTCGAGGTCGGCTTGTGACGTCATCAAATCGAACAGTGCGAAGGAGAAATCGAAATCTATTCAACGACATAGTCAAATAGACTAATTCAATTCCTGTGCCTCTAGAATTATCCCAACAGTCTTTCAGGTTCCGTCTTCCCGATCTGTTTACACCTATCACCAGCAATAACACGATAAAAGCTCGAATTTCCATCATGTTTGTTTGACGAGCATCTCTGTCACGTTTATTTTTTGATTGAGCAATATTTATGTAAATATTTGTGGATTCAACAATAATCTGCAAAAGTGACTCGTCAAAAAATAGCTCGAAACAAGACAGTGGAGACTGGGCGTTTTTAGCGTTACCTTTAGGTCCACATTGTTGTACTAAAATATTGTGCGATCTAGTTCTTGATGACGGTGGTGGTGTTTTGTTCCAACGAGTACCATTTCTAGACCGGTAGTAGTTTGAGAAAGTACTCAGAGGAACATTGTCGTCACTTGAAAAACTATTCTCCACATTTTCTTCCATGTCTTCATCTACCCTCTCTTCTGTGCTTCTTTCTTCCTTCTCTTCTATGCTACTTTCATATTCTTGCTCTGTTTCTGAGTCATGGTTTAGCTCTGTAACACATTCCTCTTCATTACCTTCTGTATCACTCGGCGCAATATCACTCACAACCTCCACATCTTCCAACCAGCATCGTATTATATTATGCTGACGTTCGTCCATAATGGCGAAAAATCTGTAATGAACAACACAAAATTCATAGCAAAATATACAAAAGTCTTATAGAAACTGAAATCATCTCGAATAGAAGAAAAATAAAACCAATACTTACAAGAAACACTTAATAATCGAACGAGAGATTTGTAACGCCAATACTCGCATGGGGTGAAATTCCGCCCCGAGCACTTTCCCGCCTTTTTTTTGCCACTAGCGCACGCGTCGAGTGCCGGCGCCGTACTGACCTTGAACCTAATTTACTCGACTAGGATTACACTAAGCGACACAGTCTGTATTCAAATAATTTAAAAAATATGGATGAAAGCATTGGTCTGGGGTGAATATTCACCCCGCGCGAGTACTGCAGTGTTAAAGTTCAAATTGACTTTTAAGTATTATTACAAATCTTTAGTATGGGAATATAGAAAAGTGTTGTTTTTAAACTTTTTCAGGCAATTTTTTAAATTTTTCTCTCCGTAAGAACCATCTTCGTACTTCAAGGAATATTATAAAAAAGAATTAGCGAAATCGGTTCAGCTGCTCTCGAGATTTACGCTTAGCAACACATTCGGCGATTCATTTTTATATTATAGATTAAAACAATTACAGTCAAGATTTTTATTTTGGGAATTCGACTACAACAATTTATTATATACATCACCCAAGAGCTCCTGCCGCATCCAGGAACAGGATCTTGGGCAAACATATGTATATTTAGTAGTGGATTTTTGATAAGCTGGAATGAAAAAAAAAAGAAGAATAAACTTCAAAAACCCCATGTTAACACGAAAAACATTTAATTAAAAAAAATCTTTATGAGAAATTACAAGCGATATTTCCCCTGCTGTGCAGTTAACTAGAAAATTTTGCAGCCGTCTATTGTGGTCTCGCTTTACGCTTTTGTGACCACAGCGTGTCGCTGTTTTGTTTACTTTAGAAGTTCTATTAATAATCATGAAAGTGTGACTTTCACGAAATCCGTTATGTTGGCAAAATCCTTTAGTAGTTGCCAAACTAGGAAAAAAATCATGAAATGACTTGACATTTTTGCAGTTTTCATTTTATTTTTTTTAGTTTTAGAAGCAAATTGCATTTCTTTTTACTACTTTTTAAGTCAGATTTAAAATAACTTACTGAATTTAGAAATATTAAAAGTTCCTATAGAGGTAGGTACATAATTTGAAATTAAAAATTTTGTACAACCGACTTCAATATAAATTATTAAGAATAACTCAAAAACTATTAGTCAGACCTTGATGAATTTATATGGGACCAAATGTGACGCGCCAGCTTTTAAATACAAAAAGAATTATCGAAATCGGTCCACCCAGTAAAAAGTTACGAGGTAACACACATAAAAAAAAAACAACATACAGTCGAATTGAATACCATCTCCTTTTTGAAGTCGGTAGATAAAATCTTTTATCGATTCCCAAAGTGAAAAGTCACTGAAATTGTAGAGAAGAATCTGCAATTAATCTAACTAAGAACAAATAATATTAGAGTTTAGTAAAATTTAAGCAGTACGCATAGATCATAGGTATAATACTAGGTCATAATCATAACTTTTTCTATACAATATGTATATTATACTTGTATTTTAATGGGTTTCTAATACGTCAGTAAATTATTAGATTATTACGTATTCTGGAGGTGGGGTAAAATAGAATTATAAATTTCCATTACATTCACACATACATTCATACATACATAGATACATGATTGTCAAGTTGTACAGGGGTAATATATGCAAAGACATTGTATGAATTAAAACATGTGTTTAGGATTTCTGGTTTACAGGATTACAGGACAATTACAGGAAAATGGCTAACATTCTCGGTGTCGCAATTGCTTAAAAACAGATAATTACAATAATTTTATGTTTATTATATAGAAAGAATTAAATGTTGTATATTGATAATATCCACCTTAATTTTGAGTCACATTTGTTAAATGCGACTTATTACTATTTGTGAAATAAGTAAAAGTCAGAAGTATTTTAATTAAATTGTGTTTAGTGTTCCAACCAACAGTGACAGCTGTAATGAACATGATTTAAACTTACTGTAAGTGTAATTCTTGTTATCCCTTTAACATTTTAAGATTTACCTTTTAAGTGAGTGTTATTCTGGATTTCATTTTGGATTATTTACATGATAATTTTATTTGAGATCTGTAAATAAACCCATAGATCTAGACATTTGCTTACTCTGCTTCTTCGGTTGTATTTTTAAAGAAATAAAAATTTAAGGAAATGAATATAATTAACTTTGGCCTCTCAATACATTTATGAAAATGTATTGAGACGCCAAATATACGTACACAAAAATAAAATTAGTTTTACAAAAATAAGTGATATTCATTGTGTAAATACTAGGAAAAGACACAAGCTAGCAGTACCAGTTACTTGACTCAACCGAGTCAGTAATTTATTCTTAGGGCGATGTATGTATACGCTTTTACAACAAAATCCCAGAAAATAAACAAAATTTGAAATGCTCAAAGTTCAAAAAGTTTATTAAACTAAGTTTGTATAGGTTTATTATAATATTAAGGAATTTATGGATGATAATAACCCCTGGGAATGAAGTGATCAATACCAAGCTATTTTTAATTTGTTTTATGTTGTTAATTGTGTAATATACATGATTGTAAGCTGTTATTTTTTTAAGAAATAGGCCCGCTGGGTTTCATGCTGTTTATACTCAGAACAGAGTTTTTTCGAACCAGTGGTAATTAAAAGTAAAGTTAAGTTTTATTTAAAATGTATATTGAATTAAAAGTTTCTGTTTCGATTTCTATCAGTTAGTTTTCCCACTCTTTTAGTTTAGTTGTTAGTTCTCTCCACATCAGAGCTCATAATTAGACCGTGCTGTTCTTTCTAATCGAAGTTTTGACGTAATTTTTGAATTATACCATCTACTGCTGAATACGACTCTTTCTAAGAAAGCGTTGGTTGTTACTTTAAAAAATTGTTGTAGAAAGCCGGTATTGAATAAAACTATTTTTACGAATTTTATCGCGTTTAATTAACTTATTTTATATTCCCGAAGTTTCGGTTGCTTTCCGGCAACCGTGGTCACGGGGGACTGAGGTGATTGACGTCCCGATGTCAGAGTTAAACCGGAGTACCTTCAGCTTTTTTAATTAATAATTTTGGTCCGATCTACGCAGAATGAACTAACTGTGTCTTGAAGTCTTTTTTTTTATAGGATCGGGTGACAAACGAGCACACAGTCCACCTGATGGCAAGTGGTTACTGTGACCCATAGACATCTACATCTATCCTCAATAAAGACTCAAGATGCAGATGCGTTGTCACCCGTGAGGACTAAGATGGAATGCCTCTTTGCCAGTAAAAAGGGTCTCCGGTTCTCTACACTCACCATACGAAACACAGCAGCATTAAGCTGCTATTTTACGCTGGTTTTCTGTGAGAGCGTGGTCCTTCCCCGGTCGAGCCGACCCATTCGTGCTACAACCATAATATAGCTGCAGCATGACTTGCTTGCAGTGGTATGCTTGGGTTTAGTTTTAATTTTATGAATTACAGGATCCCAAGCAGGTGGTAGTACCCAACCTCCCTCTCTATTGAAATTAGGATGTTTTTTAATTTCAATAGCCTCACGTATCATCCTTGGCAGGAATCGATGTTCTTTCGCGAGAATTTGTGGTTTATCAAATCTAATGTAATGGCGGGGGCCGTCTAGGATATGATCACAAACTGCAGACTTCCCGGAACGTTGGTGCTTCACGTCAGCTATGTGTTCTTTTATGCGGGTTTTTTAGATCGTTTTGTTTGCCCTATATATGAGAGACCACACTCACAATCAAGCTTGTACACTCCTGCATCTTGTAGAGGAATATTGCACTTGACGGATGGTAAGAACTAACTAATCTTCTTCGGCGGCTTGAAGAATGTTCTAATAGAAGCTCGCTTTAAGATGTAGCCAATCTTGTCTGTGACACCTCTGACATACGGTAGTACAGCAGGCACACGCTCGACTGTGGCCGGCTTCACTCGGTCACTGTGACTTAGGCGCGGAACCCGAAGCTTGTTGTCGTGCAGAACCTGCTTGACGTGCTGAAGCTCGGCGGCCAGGTGTTTGCTGTCACAGATCCCTCGTGCTCTCTGTAACAAAGATTTGCCCACGGTAGCTAACTGTGAAGGGTGATGGTGGGATTCACCGTTTAAATATCGGTTTGTATGGGTCTTTTTTCTATACACAGTGTGACCTATGGTATTATCAGGATTTCTAATGACTAACACATCTAGGAAAGCTAAAGAATTATTTGCCTCTAACTCCATAGTAAATTGAATTTTAGAGTTTATGGAATTAAGATGTTCTAAAAATGCAGTTACTTTGTCTCATGGTAAAATTGTGAAAGTATCGTCTACGTACCGCTTGTAGAAACTTGGAGTTACTGGTGCAGTAAGCAGGGCTTTCTCCTCAAAGTCCTCCATGGAAATATCGGCGGCAATGGGAGATACTGGTGAGCCCATCACAAAACCATCTACTTACTTGTAAAACTGTTCCTTCCACAATAGATAGCCAGATGTAAGGCAATGTCTGAGTAATACTGCATATTCTGCTGGCATATTGTTTTCCTCTAGTTTCCCAGTTACAATTGAGATGCAGTCTTCAACAGGTAGGCATGTAAATAAAGACTGAACATCAAAACTGAACATAGTTTCATTGTCAGTAAGACATAGGTCTTTTATCTCACTGACAAAATGGTATGAATCCTTCGTGTGTGCTCTTGTGTGTCCTCTGAGTGGTGATAGTACTTTTGCTAGGTGTTGAGCCAATTTGTAAGTTGGCGAATCGATCTGACTCACTATTGGACGTAATGGAGCGTTCGGTTTGTGTATTTTTGGTAACCCATACAACTTCGGTGGTTTCGCACACGCAGGTATTATCGAATTAACGTCTAGATTCAATTTCTCAGAGTATTTATTTATTAGATCGCTAGTTGTTTTAAGCGTATTAGTTGTAGGGTCTGTT